AGGTAAAGAAAGGAAGGAAGGAGGGAAGGAAGGAGAAAGGAAGAGAGAAAGAGAAAGAAAGAAAGAGAAAGAAAGAAAGAAAGAAAGAAAGAAAGAAAGAAAGAAAGAAAGAAAGAAAGAAAGAAAGAAAGAAAGAAAGAAAGAAAATATTGCTAGGTTTACTCTCCTATTGGTGTCATTTATACTGATCCAGAACTTCAGTTAGATGAGTTAATCTAATCCATAGTTTGCGAAGACACTCACTCAGAAATAACTGTAGTAAGACAAAAGACCTTTTAAAACTCTTCTGCCATGATTGACCTGCGACTGCAATTCTGATAGAGTGGGCGAAACCACTGGAGGGGAGCTAGCTGAAGCTTATTTGCTTTAGGGTGGGCGTATTGATTATCTGCATTTGCACAGAACTCTTCCTCCTGTCCCTAGACAGTTGGCCTATGTAACTGAATAACAGTCCATAAAATATGTTCTTGTATAAGGTAACATATATGTGCATATTATAGGTAACACATAAGATCATAGTCCAGACTGTGATTTTGGATAATGCCTTAAAACTCCAGTTGATAAAAACTTCTGTGATAATTGTCTTTACATAAAAAAGTTGATTTTGAATACCATCTGTGATTTTTTTAATTGCATATGTCTTTGTCTTGATTTGAGTTCTAAGGCTATTTTATAAAGTTTCAAAAATTCATCATTAATAAAAATATTATTTAAGGACTGTATAAATCTATAAACATTCAAAAATGAGATTACCAATGTACTGAATTATACAAACAGAATAATCTAGCACTGTTTACAGGATTTTATATCTAAAACATATTTGCATGAAAAAGGCTTCAAAGAAAGCTAGGATGATGGAATAATATAGCTAGAATTGAACTGCAATTTCAACTGAGGTGTAAAACACAATTTAGCCTAGTTCTCTTGTACTAGTTTTCTGGAGTGCCTTCTTAGAGGCTAGATGCTCAGAAAACTTATGAATTCACAAGATATGACTGTACACCAGTTTTCAAAATAAAGCATGCAAATCTTTCTAGCTCTTATTTTTCCTGGAGTTATGAGAATGCTAATGTGAAAGATAAACAAAAGAAAATTACCAAACTTCTACACTAAACCGTTAAGTTCTTTTTCTATAAACTTTTATATTAGATAGGAGGTATTATAGGCCTTTTTGGCATCTCATTTTATATTGAAGATTTGATTATTTACAGTTTAAGATATGTTCCTACAAGAAAAGTAAAAGTGGTCTTCGTGTAATCTTTCATCTGAAATTCTAGATTTTGTACTTTTTCAAGGAGTCCTTGCAATTCATGTCAATATTATCATTTCCTCTGTTACTAATGGAGAAACTCAAACACACTGATGTTTGGCTTCTGCATATAACTCAGTAAATGAGAATCATGGCATTTTACAATTAGGTGTATCAGCAAATCCAGCCTTCCTCGTTTTCTGATGTAAAATCTGATGTCTAGTCTGGAACCTAGGACCCCGGTATCACATTAAAACAGCACTCTATTTAGAACTTGGGCTTCCTGTTTTCAGACCACAAAGCTAAGCTCTCTTCCTGAAGTTACAAAAACAGTCTGCCCAGTTCTCTTCTGTGTGCTGGGGAAAGCTGTTGCCCAATCATGAGGAGAAAAAAACAAACAAACAAAAAATACTAAAAAAGCCCTCCTGGAACCCAGGTGAGAGAACAGTAGGGTGACTGAAGCTTACTAATGAGGCACTGTGGTCTTCTCTATTTATGAAGCTCTTATTCTAAACTGTCAGCAATATCCGTGCATAAAGTCAGGGATCATCATACTCCCAGTTCTTCTTATGGTTTTTATAATCCCAATTCCTTTCCCCCCAGCATTTCTAAACAGATGCTAGTTTCTTTAGAGTGCCTCTCCTTCTTTCATTCGGATTGCCCCACCTCGTTATCAGTTATATTACTTCCTATCCTTTTATCCTTTCTTACCTCTGTCTCTTCCTTCAGTCTTCAAGTTTCACTTGAAGCATCCCTAACATGAAGGCTACCTACTTTTAGATTTACCTTCCTAATTATCAGTCTTCAAGTTTCATATGAATCACTGAACAAGAGAAAAATATGATTAATACTAGAAAATATGTATACATTTAGGGGTAAATTGCACAGGGCTAATGGGTAGGGACTAATAGAGGCCATCCTTTCTCATCTTCACAACTAATTCATGCACAGATAATGGCAAAGTATTTTTTGTCTTTTACAATAGCACTTTTTAGGTGGTAACAACTGTGGCTGAGATGTGTTTGTATAAAGCACAGAGGTTTGTATTACAACGGTAACCAAGCCAGCTTTACCATTAGTTCTGCTTACTGCCAAGGTGATGATGATGGTAATCAGAACTATGATATGATAATGAGGAAGGTAAATCTAAAAGGAGGCAGTCTTTGTGTTTGGGATGCTTTTTAGTAGTCATTTGTTGGGAGTGTGGTATATTTGCTTTTAGTATATAATTTAAAACCAAATCACAATGGATCCAAAATGAGCAACAATTTGGGGATGTGATTAGTAGAGGCTTGGAGTTATCCACCTCTCACTTATTCTATGCAGTTAGCATTATAATCTATATGAAGAGAATTTTTCAGTAATTCTTTGAGATTATTTCTCCTTCTGAGGAAATAAGGGCTTTAAAGTAAAACTCTCCATTTCTGGTTCTTACATTTCTCTACTGATTTATCTTAAAGACTCACTGGCTGCAGTCTTTTTCCCCTACATGAATCGGATTGAATTTCCACCTAATGTTAAGAGGACAACAACTGGTTTAGCCAACTCATTGTCACATTTTATACTCCTCCAAGCTAAATGTTTCTGGAAAGTGATAATAAAAATTAGATGACTTACGATGCTGAAAAAAAATTCTGATGCACAAGGGGAGAGGAGGGAAGGTAAGAGAAGGAGACTTGGACTGAAGCATCCTTTTTTATTTGTCTTTATAAAGGATAATACAGTCAAAATTTGATTTATTTAGTCTTACAATTAAGATCAAAGCAGTTGCATGCTTTATCTTAAATTACCCAGATTTTTACTGCAGCAATATGTTTGAAAATTTGGAGGATCATTCCCAAAAAAGTTTCTTTAAAATCATGTCTTATTTCTGCATGCTTAGAAAAAATTAGACTCCCCTGGCTCCAGATCTCTAAATATCATGCTGTTCACAAATAGTAAAGTTCCATATAAAATGTCAGAGGAAATAAGAGAAGAAAAATATTTGAGCTGTTTCATACAGTACCGAAGTTATTTCATCTGGGTTGAGCTTGGAAAGAGCCTGATTATCCCCACGTTATCTGAAATTCTTGACATCCAAATAAAGACAGAGCATGTGACTCCCCTTAAGGGGGTTGGAACTCATCCAGTGACATGGGAGGCAGGGCTTCAGCTGACTTTAGATGACTAGTATTTACTGGTGGTGAGATAGTAGTTTTGAGTGTTTTCACCATCTTGATATATAATCAATATATATATCAAATATTTTTAGATAAAAACAATAGTTATGTTTGTAAAAATGAAAAATAAAACTTCTTACTCTTATAGATCTATGTCAGAGCTAACAGAGTACACTCAAACACATGACTTAGTCTGAGAATACATTAAATGCACTGATTGGTTTATGATTAGGATGCCGTTAGAAAATACTAACATCAAAAGTCTATTTTAAGATAAACAATTTTGTCTCAAACTCCAGTAATCATCTGATTTTTGCCTTATTGATCAGGAAAGCTATAAAATAATTTCAAGTAAACTACTTGAAGCAGGAAATACAAAGTTGAATGACATTTTAAAAGAGGCATGAATTTTGGAACTTTGGATTGGTACAAATTCAGTTCTGGTATCTGATTCAGAATGATTTTCATTGTATTCCAAGCTAATTTGACATTATAGTAAAATATGAGAACCCAGCTGAATCCACTACAGGAGTTTTGTATTGCGGAAAATAGAAAACGACTTAACAGGACCTCTTAGTTATGACTACATTGTGTGGGGAGCATCTAAAAGTCTTTGTCTGCTTCTGTTCAGCTTGCTTTATGGAAGGTAAAATATGAAAACATTATGCTCAATACTGTTCCCAGGTGTCAAGCTTCTAGGTCTCAATATTGTAATGGGGAAAGGCTGTGTTCCTCGTCAACAGAGGGGAAATAAGGAGGAATTCTGAAAATCCCACAGATATATCTGGAATGGTTCAAACCAACCCCTAAAAGGACCTGAATATTTTTTAACTTTTAAAATTGATGCTATCCTTTGGTCAAAAGCAAAAGTTGAATTTCCTTTATAAGAATCAAAATGTAAGTTATAAAGCATTGCTTTCTCAAGTTATTTTCTAGAATTTAAAGAAGAGGGTGAAATATTACCTTACATGTAATAAATACCAAAAGTTTTTTGAGTCATAAGTTTTGAGACTACAATAACTTTATATTTTCTCAGAAGTTACAAATCAAAGTAGACTCCACACACAAAATATGTTAGTAAATCAATTACCAAATATGAAGGGTTAAACAAATAAGCAATAGAGTTAAACAATAAGCAATAAATATGAATTCCAACTTAATAGCTTTATAAAAAAGATGATAGAACTTATTTTGAGTGATTTGTATGATATAAGGAAAAAAAATCAAGCTAAACCATGTGGAATGGACAATGAAGACAACATTCCATGAGACTTGTCCAGAAAAAAAAAAGAATTGAGAGTGATCTTAACTTATAATGTGGAAGACAAGCCAAGCAGAATGTACATCAGCTGTCAGATTGCTTCATGCCTTTTACAGCAGTTGTTCCTCTGAAAATAGCTTCCAAATGAGAAAGGATGACTACAAAAGGATTAGTTACCATAGGCTTTTCTACACCCCCTAGAGCTCCAGGTTTGTTATGACAGAACAGCAAGAATTTAAAGGAAGTAAATTATGGAATATTAAACAACATCAGGAAGGAGCCACATTTAGGCTGAGCTATATTAACGCTACGAATGATTTTTTATTGATACCATTTCCATGGACTTCCTTCATGATGGCTGTTGCTTGCTGTTTCCTCTGCTTCACCATAGTATTATGTGATAGCATGGTTTTTTTGTTCCCTGTTAAAAATAAAGGGACATTATTGAGGCAATATGAAGAACTCATTTGGAGTGTCTCATAATCACTGTTTTGAAAGACAGCATCTTTGTTCTTTATTAAAAAGTTATTATCACTTGCTACTGAAAGACTTCAATATGCATTCCTTATTTGGTGACAGGACATGTTATTCATTGACAGGCAATGTCACAGTGAACAGAGACCCAGTCTTATCTGGACATTAATACAATGATCATCAGGCAGTGAGAAACAATGAAATTTCTGGACTTCTTTCCTCTCCCTCTCTTTTCTCCACAGTATTTTAATCTATCATTGTCTCCTCACTAGCCTTCATTTGTACCAGCATCACACTTCATCAATTCCAGCAAACTGTAAGAATGAAGAAAACACCAGATTAAACCTGAATTCTTTGGTGGTAGCATTTTAATATTTTCAACAGCTGCCCTTTAGAGCAGAGAGTGCCCATTGATGAGTCATAACTCTGGATCTCCTTGGACAACTGACTAATAAAACATTTTAGGAAACAGCATACTCACCTTCCTGTTAAATTGTGCTTTTCAGCGGGGATGAATCCCAGTTTGTGGAGGAAGACTCTGGAGATGGACTATGGATGGCACTTGGGCCTGATGGTTTTTATCCTTGAACCTGGGACAGCATGGTCCCTACTCTAACTCAAACTGGGAACTGAGCTTTTCTGAAGAGACTGGCATTCAGCTGACATCAACTGACTATATATAGCATCAAATACTTTAGCTACTCATATCTTCCTGGCGAAAGGGAGGAACAGGGAAAGATTAGGTTCTCTCCATTGTGTTTCTAGTTTGTGAGATGGTTAAATGAAATCTTTGTTAGACATGCAAAAAGTTTTAAGTGAGCACTTTCTGTTTGAACAGATAGTAGCCAAAAGGGACTTAAAACACTATTAAAGATCTAGCTCTTATGTTACATCTTAATTGAGGTGACAACAGACACATACATGAATTAGAATAGAATGATAATTATTCATAACGAAAATGAAGAATATAGACAATAATATCTATGTAGATTCAAGAAGAAAGAAAGCAAAGTGGGGGGGATCAATAGAGCCAGTTCTTAAGCTGGAGTGAGAACCCATGCTAGGTTCAGAAAAGTGGATAGTATTTGAATAGTGAACTCAGGATTGCATTTTGAAATGGACTATTAGAGGGTGAGCCATGAAGCTGAGTAAAAGCTTAGACTCATAACTGGGTCATGCTTTTTGAAGAAACCCTACAGAGACCAGTCCCTGCAAAGTTGACCAGTCTCTACAATGTGTAGAGTCAAGGATTTTCATTTGCGGGCATAACAAGATTTGAAAGATTTGCCTTTCAAAAGATATGGCCTCCCAGATAGTCCTTGGACACAAAAGCATGTTCTCATCTCTGGGCTTTTCCTTTTACTATTTCCCCTTTTTCCTGGATGAAATAGTATCCTCAACAGCTAATCATTATGTTAATTTTGGTTTACAAAATGAAAATAGATAGTGTATTCCTTTTACTATTTCCCCCTTCCAAACTTTCCCCCTACTCACATGACACAGTCATGCATTCAGGACTCTGCTCAGATAACAATCCCTCATCAAATCACCCTCATCAAATCCATAATCACCCTGTCTAAAATATCACTCTGTGCCACTCTCCAGTCCCTTACTCTGCTTTGTTTTCTTTATACTTTTCTGTTAGTTAAGACAAAAGTAAAATGGGAGTGACAGAAACTCCCCCAAAACAGAACTGTAAAAAGATAGATGTTTCTCTCACAGGTAAGCTTAGTCTGGAGGTAGTAATTGAGGGTTGCATGATTGACATAATTATCAAGGGCTCCATTACCCTGTAACTTTTTGCTCCACTATCCCTAAAATGCAGAACCCTTGGGTCTAATTAGCTGCTCGAGCTCCAGTTAGCATGCATATATTTCAACCAGCAGGAAAAAGAAAAAATAATGAGAAGGGCACACTGTTTTCCTTTCAGAACATGTCTAATATTGTTCATACTTCTGTTTACATCCCATTGGGCAGAACTTAGTCATATACATACATAACTCAAGAGAGTTTGGGAAGTGTAGCTTCTATGCTAGGTGGTCATGAGCCCAATTAAAATTCATGAATAATTTACTAACAAAGAAAATAATGATTGCTGAGTGACAATCCAGTTTTTTCACTAAGAACATGTCAACATTATTTTGTGTATCTATCTAATCATCTATCTATCTCATATCTCTTTTTTCTACTAACTATGAACCCTATAATGGCTTGGGCTTTGTACCTTCAACAGTTGGAATTGTATTTGGTATATGGTAAGCACTCAATATTCATTAAATGAGTGAATGAATTATGTTATGTATAATTCTAAAGGTTCAGTAGATTGGTGATTAATTGCAGAATGCATTAAAGGTTTGGCATGAGTTTGGAATTCAAATGAACAGTCGCTCGAATATACAAAGATGGTGGCTATTTGTGGGAGAAGTTGTATTTTATAAGATTGAAATAGGTTATACATTATAGTGCCTGATCATTGGATTGGAAGTTTAAGGTTGTAAACCGTCGCACTTTGGGAGGCCATAGTGGGTGAATGGCTTGAGCCCAGGACTTTGAGACCAGCCTAGGCCAGCTAGCAAAACTCTGTCTCTACCAAACACACACACACACACACACACACACACACGCACACACGCCAGGTACGTGGCATGCACCTGTACTCCCAGCTACTCCAAAGGTTGGGGTGGGAAGTTTACTTGAGTCCAGGAGGTAGAGGTTGCAGTACGGTGATCCAGCCACTGCACTCCAGCCTGGGGGAGACCAGATCTTGTTTCAAAAAAAACAAAAAAAAAAAAAAAAAAAAAAAAAAGAAAGGGAGAAAGAGGATGTTAAAAGTTGTAGATAGCTACTTAAATCTAGCTATCTACTTTATCTAGCTAACTATTGCAATTGCTTCTAAACAAATGTTTGCATTGAAATTGTAATTAGGTATCAATGAGAAACCATTTTGCCAACGCAGATAAATTTAAATTCCCTCTCAAAATCCCTTGAATGCCCTTATGTTCCTGGCTGTAGCCTTTACCATAGTGTGCTATTAGACAAGTCTTTTACACTCTGTTTTCTCATCTGTAAAATAGTGATTACAGTACCTATAACATAAAGTCATGGACATTTTACTTCGGACAGTTTAGAAATTCCTTATACTTAGTCAAAAGTTTAATAAATGATTTTTTTCCTTTTGCTATTATTATTATTTCTGCAAAATGCTAGAATTTCGAATTTTAGAATAATCAACTGCATTATTCAGTTAAAAAACAGATTAGAAGGGTTCTGGTTTTCCTATTTGATCATCTTCATATGTTTCCAACTTTATGTTACGTAGAATTCTAAAGGTTGAAATGGAGTCCTCAGCAGATAATCATTGTTATATTAATTTTGGTTTCCAAAATGAAAATAGATACTGTATTTTAAAAGATTGTAAAAGTTTTACTGAATATAAGGTCTTACACCTTTTTGTCTATTTTTCAAATATATTCTACTTAAAATTCTCTTGCCTTATTTTTTAAGTTCATTTATACATACCTAGCTTTCTGGTCTCTGAGTTTTTTTGTTCTGAAAAAGAAGAAAAGGCAAATCACTGGTGTTGCAGTCTTAAGACAAGATATGCCATCCATTTGCTTCATGACACAAATGCTGAACTTTAAACGGAACTTTAATGTTTATCACAAAGCATTTTCAGGTGGTCCACACTGCAAACTAATGCCCTTTAATTTAAAATCAAGTCACAATTAATCATTTTCTATTTTATCTGCATAGAGATTTGGTACCAGACAAAATTAAAATTCAGCTCAAATTTGTCATATTGAGATCATCTTTTGTCCTCAGCTCACAGCCTCCCACCCCATGACCACAGACACACACACACACACACACACACACACACACACACACATACACACATACACACACAGTGGACTAGAAAAGATGTCTCCTACCCTCAAAGACTCAATTCCTACCCTTGTCCTACTACTCATTCCTTCCCTCGAAGCTTCTCTCTCACCACAAGTTAGGCAGAGTAGTACTTGATTTTTCTTTCAAGGCCCAAAGTATTTTAAACTGACCGGTGCTAAAGACAGAAGATGAGATCTTTTCTTACAGGCAAAAATAATAGGATTCTAGAAACTTGTGTCTTGGGAGGCTAGTGAGGAAGAACTTTTTGACAAAGATTTTCAACACCTCTGTAATCAAACTATTTCCACTGCTGGGACTGGCCACAGTTGCATTTCTAACTCCTTTATCACTTGCCAAAAGAGAAAAAAAGATTAAATAAAGTGACTTTTATTGCTGTATTGCTACCTAACAAAAATCCACACCATGAGGACTCATGAAAGGCAACCTTATTCAGTCAGTGGTAAACATGAGCACTTTAGCCAACTGGTAAACAAAGTCTACATTGACCTTCCTCTAACTGAGCACTTGTTTTGAAATTCTGTGTTTCTCTTGTCCCATTGACAGTCTATATTAGGTGGCTGTGGGCAGTCAGAGATTAGGGGAGGATTGGGGAGGTGGGCAGACTGTGGGAACTCACTGTTTGCTAGGTGGGCAGACAACACACTGACATTATTGAGGCTCGGCTCTGGACTGAGGCACACATAACCAAACAGGACAGCTGCCAGGCCAGTGTTGAGCGGCGAGTCTGAGAGAACAATCAGTTCTTCACCAGCCTTCAGGGCCTCAGTTATAGTGCTAACTCTGGAAGGAGAGAATGTTTGAAAATATAACGGTGATGCAAACAACTCACCTTTGGTGGGGTTGTCTATGGAAGCACAGCCTTTGGTTTGTGCACAATAACCCTGTGCTTTCTTCTTCATGCCTAATTGGCCCAGTGTGTCTTCCGTGGTTTCTATTTTCCTATACTGTGTGGGATCCAGCCTATAACTGACCTCCTTAGCAGACAATCACAAGGGCAGAATAGGAATAGGCAGTACTGGGGTAATCATTTTACCAGCCAACGGGGAACAGTATAAAAAAGATAGCTGAGTTTTCAACTGGTCTCATTACAATAAAGGCCTAAGGGCAACAAGAGTGGTAAGAGGAAAAATACCAATCACTATTCAGTTAATGTTTGCTAGGCTCGGTTAGCCCTGTTCTACAGATAAGAAAACTGAATTTCTGAGAGGTAAGTAAAACCATCAAAGCTTCATACTCGTAAGTCACAGAGATGGAATTACAAATTGGCTGTGTCTGATCCAAAGGCTTCTGTTTTTTTCACCATGTTGGGCAGACATCTCTGTTTTCCTCATCTTCTCTAAATTCCTCCACATTGATGTCTATACAACAAAAATAAAGCAGAGCTGAGAATTGTCAGAGAAATTATTGCAATTAGCTCCTTACTAATTTCCTTTGGAATTTAACATCCTAATATTCGTTTTATTTGGGGTGAGGTGCTTTTTACTTACAATATTTGTGGCTCTTTTCCAACGCGTGCTTTTCTTGTTTGCAAACCTCTAGAGTTCCTCATGGTGTCTATTCTCAGGGTACTTTCTTTTCCTTCAGCTGTGCAAATACTAAAGTTATTAAAATGCCTAACATAAACAAATAGAAGCCATTTGCTGTGCAGGCCTCTCCTTCCTTTCCTGGCCCGTGTAGCACACCATCCCAAACACACTTACCACCTTTGCTGCCAACAATGAGGGTTAAATCTAACTTCATCAAAATAATTCAATTATGAGGAAGC